GCTGGCATGCAGCGCTGCAAGACGATCTTTACATTAAGAGGGTTCCTATGGTCCTGGGCCGGCCTCAAAGGAGAAACCTAACTTACCTTCCCGCACCCTCGTCTTCAACTGATTAGGAGTCCCGTTCGTCCATTCCTGTACCATCAGGCTGATCTGCGCTTACCACACGGCCGGACCGGCTTATTCAAGCAAGGAATCCGAGAAGAATGTCCCGTTTCTGTTGCCACACCAGGCCACCAACCTGTATTTCCTCTCCAAACCCTAGATTCCTGCATGCCCCATTTAAAATGAATTACCACGCCTCACTAGTCTGAGCGTTCCCCACCAGTTATTCTTACTCATTTGTAATTTATTTTTGAGCGGAGTCGTGCTCTGGTCGCCAAGGCTGCCCAGTAGCGGATCTCGGTCACTGCAAGCCTGTCCGCCTCCGGTCCCGCATTCTCCGTGCCTTCCAGGCTCCCCCGAGGTAGCGAGGACTACAGGCGCCGCACCTCGGGCCGGTTAGTTTTTTGTATTTTTGCAGTAGAGACGGGGGTTTTCACCGTTCAGCAGATTGGTCTCGAGTTCCTGACTCGCGGATCCGGCCCGTCTCGGCTCCAAAGTCTGTGATTACAGGCTTGGCCTCCGCGCGCCGCTGTTGAGTTTCATTGAATCTACCGTGAAATTCATGTAAAATCCCTACACCCTTTCAATGCAGATGAAACAGCCCCCAGTCCACCAAAGCTTTCCTGATTGTTCAGTACTTACCGGAACCTCTTGTGGCACACTTACTCTTACCCCATTTGCTGGCCGACTCATGTGTTCTAGCCAGACTGTGGAACCCCCTTGAAGAGGGTCTTCTTTAGCTTACAATGGGACCCTCACCTTGTTCATGCCGGTAGATTATGATGCCAGATGCGCAGTGCGGTCATCACTACAAGACGCCAGGCGCTGGCCACTCAATAGCACAATCTCGGCTCACTGTAACCCCTGTCTCCCAGGTTCAAGCAATTCTCCTGCCTCAGCCTCCTAAGTAGCTAGGATTACAGGCATGCACCACCACGCCCAGCTAATTTTGTATTTTTCGTAGAGACGGAGTTTCACCAAGTTGGCCAGGCTAGTCTTAAATTCCTGACCTCAGATGATCCACCCACTGTGGCCTCCCAAAGTGCTGAGATTATAGGTGTGAGCCATCACGCCCAGCCGGATCTGTTTTTATAAAGGGACTAATGTTTTTTGTTCACAGATAGAGGTCCCTGTAAAAGCTAGCTTAAGGCTGAAAAGCAGAGGAAGGCTGGGCACAAGCCTGCACATCAGAGCCCTTCCCACAGGAGACCCTGCCTGACTCTTACCTCCTGACTTGGGTGCCACACCACATGCTTGACATCCTGTGTGTGGGAGTTGAGAACACTGACACATTCATACTCATCCTCTTCATCAACTGTGGGAGAGAAAAAGAAGGGAACCCAAGAGCCGACCCTGTCACGGACACGGAGGGGGGTGTCAGGTGGTTCCCAATCCACCTGGAGGGACCTGGACTCACCTTCCCAGACCCAAACACTCTTATCTCGGCTGCAAGTGGCCAGGAGGTTGCCAGATGGGGCCCAAGCCACTGACTTGACCTCATTTTCATGGCCCTCGAGAGTGGTTACACACTGTGAAAGGAGAAGGAAAATGAGAATTAACAGCAGCTAACACCGCTAAGGCCCTTCCCATGGGTACAGCCCAATTGGCGCAGGTTGGCTCAGGTTCCTGAACCAGCCCTGGGGAGGAAACAGGCAATAATTCTGGTCCCAACCAGCCTGGGTACCTCAAAGTCATCCTGGTTCTTCTTCCAAATGCAAGTGGTAGCATCAAAGCTGGCAGAGGCCAGGTAATTACCGCAGGGGGACCAGGCCACCTTCCGCACGGTGCGCTGGTGGCCTTCAGAAAGGACAGACTTGCAGATCCAGCTGTCACCTAAAGGCGGAGCGCAGGCCAGGCTCTGGAGCTGGGTGCAGCACCATGAAGCCATTCGATACTGGGGGCTAGCACTGGAGTCAAGCTAGTGGGGGAAAGCTCACAGCTTTTACAAAGATGCAACTGACTCTACTTCTTCGGGAGGCTTTTTTTTTTTTTTTGAGACCGAGTTTTTGCTCTGATGCCCAGGCTGGAGTGCGATGGCACAATCCTGGCTCACTGCAACCTTCGCCTCCTGGGTTCAAGGGATTCTCCTGCCTCAGCCTCCAGAGTAGCTGGGGTTACAGGTGCCCGCCACCACGCCCAGCTAATTTTGTATCTGTAGTAGAGACGGGGTTTCACCATGTTGCCCAGGCTGGTCTCGACCTCTTGACCTCAGGTGATCTACCCGCCTCTGCTTCCCAGACTGCTAGGATTACAGGCGTGAGCCACCGCGCCCAGCCTCTGGAGGCATCTTTCTAAAACAAATCTGATCTAAAATTGCTACTGGTTCCCCAATGCCCTCGGGATAAAATGTGACAATCCAGTTGCAAGTTACTCTGAAAGCCACTTTCCTAACACCTTTCTTTTCCCATTTTCCTGCCTCCGCAGCTACCACAATTCCCTCCACATTTCAGCTTGTCTGCTGACGTTTCTCCTCCCGGCAGTCGCAGACTTCTTTGCCTACAAAGCCCTTCTCGGGGTGGCTAACATCCGACTCTCCCTCCGCCAGGAACAGGGTCAGCCTCCCCCGCAGGCTGCGCGCCCGCACTACGCGCAAGCGGAGCCCTCAGCGCCCAGGGCCGCGCAGCCAGGCTGGGCCTTACCCTCCGTGCCCCAGATGCGGATTCTCCGGTCGCCGCCGCACGAGGCCAGCAGGGTCCCCGCGGGGTTCCAAGCCAGGAACCAGCAGCGGGAGTCCGGGTGCGCCGGGACACGGCCCAGCAGCACCAGCGAGTCCTTCATGGCGGCCGGACGCACGGGGAGGTGGGGACGGGCAGGGTCCGCGGCGCCCACAGCGGGTCTCACCGCGCGCGTCTGCGTACCGCCCACTCCAGGCTTCCGCGGCCGACTGAGGCTCCCGCTTCCGCCGGAGGACCGGGGTCGCGCCGGGAACTCAGCTGCCCGCTGCTGCGGCCGCGATACCCTCTGGGAGTTGTAGTCGCTCACCTCACTTCGGCGGGGAAAGCATCGCGGGACCGCCTCGAACTACCAGTCCCGTGAGGCCCTGCGCAGAGCCGGCGGCGCGCCCAGGCTGTGACGCGCGCGGGGGACGGGGCGGGGAGCCGGAGGAGGCGGAGGCAGAAGAGGAGGAAGCCGGAAGTGCATCGAACCCGGGTCTGTCCGGGCGTTGCGGGATTGGGGCCTGGGAACGCTCGGCCCCCGGCAGCCGAGAAGCCCGTGACTGGGCTGAGCGGCGCCATCCCAGCCCTGTGGCCTGCTGACTGGTGAGGAACAATGGGCGGCGTGGGGAGGGTCTTTTCTCCGCACAGGTCGCATCGCAAACCGCCGGTCCCAGATCACCGTTCCCCGATCCCCGCGGCCCAGCCCGGTCCTCCGCCCCTCGGCACCCTCTGGCCGAGACCCTGAGTCCGGGTTCTTTGCTCCCGCGGTAGCCAATCCCCGATCCCTCCGCCCCCCGGGGACTCGAGTCTGCCCAGACCCCATCTGGCCCCTGGCCCTGTCCGGTTTTCGTCCCGCAGTCCCATTCCGGAGTCTCCTGTCTCCGCCCCCCGAATCCCCGCAGCCCTCCCTGTCTCCGTCAGCACCGGGTCCCACCCCCCTATCCTCTGGTGTCAACCCTGACAGCCCAGTGCCGGCCTCACCTGCAGCGAGCCCGGAGCGTTGCTCTCCTCCACCGGACTGTCAGGCTCTGCGCGCCCCGCGGAGGTCGGTGGCGACCAGCAGCGACTGCGGAGCGACGGCGGGCGGCCCCGGGCATGTACGCCCCCGGAGGCGCAGGGCTGCCCGGCGGGCGCCGGCGGAGGAGTCCGGGAGGCAGCGCTCTGCCCAAGCAGCCGGAGCGTAGCCTGGCCTCGGCCTTGCCTGGCGCTCTGTCCATCACGGCGCTGTGCACTGCCCTCGCCGAGCCCGCCTGGTTGCACATCCACGGAGGCACCTGTTCGCGCCAGGAGCTGGGGGTCTCGGACGTGTTGGGCTATGTGCACCCGGACCTGCTGAAAGGTGAGGGCGCTGCGCGCTGCCCCTTCAGGCCTTGGTGGGGGGCAGAATGTGTGCTGAAGCAGAGAAAGCCAGGGACCAGACGCTTGGTTGAAGGAAGCGGCCCCATAGCTGCCTGGTGTTCATGCCCACCAGGTGGCTCTGTTTGGGGTCCGGCCCCTCATTAATTCTGATGTTATTCAGCTAAGCACCTACTCCTCACAGCCATGTTAATCCGGACTGCTGCTATTTTCGGATTCTGCTGGAGGAAGGACGCTGTGTATGGAGAAAAGATAAGGGTGCTAGGTATCACAGTTAGCTGGCCCCGTCTGAGAGTCTGCGAGAGACGGAAAAGCTTCTTTGGGGCAGACTGATTAATGGAGAAAAAAAGGAACTTTTCATATGACTAGGATTTAAAAGGTATTTTAGAGTTGTATGGTAATCGGATGTGTATCGGAGAAGAAGGGGATTTTAGGTAATCGGAAGACCGTCCCATTGCCACCCTCAGTACAACAGTTGGAATTTGGCTCTTGGAACCATTATAAGTGTGCCTGACAAAGGCAAGGTTGCTTTGTGCATCATCGTGCTTTCCGGCCAGATAGACAGCAGACTATGGGAGGGTCCTATGGGCCCCGAAGTTTATCCTGCCCAGTCTTGTCTCCAGTAAAAATTGTGTAGTCTGAGGACAGGACTGGACTGTATCACCTGCTTTTTACCCTAACAATGATCAGTGTACCCCAAACAGTGCTTAGTAACAGCATAGTTCATCAACCCCAAGGTCTTTTGAGCCATCTTGAAGGTCTTATATCCTCTCTGTGCTATTCCCTGGCTGTGATGCATTCCAGATGTTCATTGCACCGCCTATCAGAAGCACCTCCTGTTAGATATCTCCATGCTCCCTCCTGAAGGATTCAGGCACCAGGATTCGGTGAAAAGGTCCAAGTTCCCCGCTGTGCATTGGACCATACTCTGCTACTGCAGGTCTAGGCTGAAAAGCCTCATCCTTGTGGCCAAATGTTGCCTTTCTCTGAGTGTTCTCTTACTGTTTTCCATCTCTCTTGAGTTTGAGAAGCTGTAGGGTGATTTTGTAGAAGGTTGGGGGCTCCTGCTTGTTTCCAGATTTCACCTTCATGGTACTCTTTGCTGGGGTGGCTCATTAAAGCCAAAGTTATGCACACGACAGAGGCCTTATATGCAGCCTTTTCTGTGTCATGTTGCTAATGGTACAAAGAGCGTTAAGCTTGAGTGAGTCTTGGTGGTTTTTCTTTTAGCACATTGCCCCGTACTTGCTTTCTTTGAAGCACACATACCACCTTCCCACCACTAGACCCATCGGATCTAGAAAGCTGGATCTCTGAAATCTAGCACCGCATGCAGTGTGCTTAGCTGTGGCTCAGAAAAATGAATGATCTCCCCAAGGCTACCCAGTGGGGGGTGGCAGAGCTGGGACTACCCCCCATCTGTTGATGCCAGTATAAAATGATGCTGTGTCCTTTATAGTTTGTATCCTTTGTTTTACTTCAGCTGTCGTAAGAAACAATCTCATAATTATTTCACTTTGCTGTGCATCCTTGTCGAAGGCATGTTAAAAATAAAAGTAAATTTTTGAGCCGGGCGTGGTGGCAGGCATCTGTAATCCCAGCTGCTCAGGAGGCTGAAGCAGGAGAATCGCTTGAACTCGGGAGTCAGAGGTTGCAGTGAGCTGAGATCGCGCCATTGCACTCCAGCCTGGGCAACAACAGCAAAACTCCATCGCAAAAAAAAAAAAAAAAAAAAAAAAGGGCCGGGTGCGGTGGCTCGTGCTTCTGATCCCAGCACTTTGGGAGGCCGAGGTGGGTAGATTGCCTGAGGTCAAGAGTTTGAGCCAGCCTGGCTAACATGGTGAAAGAAACCCTGTCTCTACTAAAAATACAAAAATGAGCCGGGTGTGGTGGCGCACGCCTGTAGTCCCAGATACTCTGAAGGCTGAGGCAGGAGAATCACTTGAACCCCGGAAGCAGAGGAGTTGCAATGAGCCCGAGATCATACCACTGCGCTCCAGCCTGGGCAACAGAGCAGAGCAAGACTCCATCTCAAAAAAAAAAAAAAAAAAAGTAAATTCTTGGTGCAGGTTCTTCTTTGTTCACATGTGTATTTACCCTTTCTAAGAAATTATTCAGGCCAGGCCAGGCATGATGGCTCACATCTGGAATCCCACTACTTTGGGAGGCCGAGGCGGACAGATCGCCTGAGGTCAGGAGTTCAAGATCAGCTTGGCCAACATGGTGAAACCCCATCACAACTAAAAATACAAAAATTAGCTAGGCCTGGTGGCTGGTGCCTCAACTACTCAGTAGGCTGTGGCAAGAGAATCGCTTGAACCTGGGACGTGATGTTGCAGTGAGCCCAGATCATACTACTGCACTCCAGCCTGGGCTACAGAATGAGACTCTTATCTCAAAAAAAAGAAAAAAGAAAGAAATTATTCAGGCTCCGTTTTGTCTTTTGCAAAGCATGTTTTCTTAACCTTTTCGTTACGTTTACTCACATATTTAGAGATCGGAATCCGTGTGTAGTTTCCACTCGCTTGCCTGTGGCTGTCTCCTAGGAGCACTTTGTGCCCATGAATAGGAGAGTTGGCAGTGGCACCTCACGAGCTATCACAGAAGAATCACGGAGGCCCCTGATTGCATCTTCTCTCCCTTTTCTTTGTACCTACTGGTTTTTTGATACCCAGTGGGTCTTCAGACATGTAGTATCCTGTGTGATCTTCAGGGCCTAACAGATGTCCTGACCTGGGAGCCTGGAGTATTCCACATCTCAGGAGGGAGCAGAGCTGTCAAGCACAGATGTGGTGCATATAGATTTTTTTTTTTTGAGACAGAGTCTTGCTCTGTCACCCAGGCTGGAGTGCAGTGGTGCCATCTCGGCTCACTACAACCTCTGCCTCCTGGGTTCAAGCGATTCTCCTGTCTCAGCCTCACGAGTAGCTGGAATTACAGGTGCTCCACCACACCCGGCTAATTTTTGTATTTTTAGTAGAGATAAGGTTTCATCTTGTTGACCCGGCTGATCTTAAACTCCTGACCTCAAGTGATCCACCTGCCTTGGCTTCCTAAAGTGCTGAGATTACAGGCGTGAGCCACCGCTCCCGGACGCGTATAGATACTTCCAGAGGGAGAACAGGCCCTGCAGGTCTCTGCAGGTGATGGGAGTCAGGCAGCCAGCAGGCCCTGGAGCAGCCTTACCCTTTCTCAGCCCCTGCCTGAGTGCCACACTTTGACATTACGCTAAGCACACGCCAGGCCCGCGTTTTCCTCCTAAACAGCATCTCTGTTTGGTACTGTCATCAGCCCCACTTCACAAAGCTCCCAGTTCCGGGAGGCTGGGTGGTTTGCTCAGCTAATCCGAGTGGACAATGACTCCGAAGTCCATACTCTTACCGCAACACCTTAGTGACCTCCAAGTTTACTTCCCATCAAAGCTGCCCGAGGCTTATCACCTCCCTGTTCTAGTTGAGTTTTATCACAAGCCCAGCCAAAGCTGTGCTTTTTGTCATAACTTCATCACCTCAGTGTTGAGGCTCTAGTTGGTGATCCCAGGGCAAAGCCACTCTCCCGTTGTCATTCACAAAGCTTCAGAGGCGTTAGCCAAGGAAAGCTGGCTCCAAAGACCCCATCCTGGGCCAGCTGTGGTGACTCACTCCTGTCATCTCAGCACTTTGGGAGGCTGAAGCAGGAGGCCAGGAGGATGTGTTGAGTCCGGGAGTTCGAGGCCGCAGTGAGCTATCATTGTGGCTCGCACTCCAGCCTGGGTGACAGAGCGAGACCCTTTTTCTTAAAAAAAAAAAAAAAAATCTCATCCTGGGTTTTCTCCAGTGCTCCAGCAAGTGGTGCCTGCTTCTCACACAGCTCTCAACCTGGCCCTGGGTGGAGACAGACTCAGACCTCTAATGGCTCCAGAAAGAGGCGCCCCAGATAGTCCTTTCTTCTGAGACTTTCTGCCTCTCAAGTGTGGCCGCCAAAGAGCACTGGCAGCAGCCCCAGGAAGCATCTTTGGAGAACGAGGAAGTT